CCCGTCTGAGCGGTGTTTTGGGTAGATGAGCTTAACTTGAATGCTGGGGAGGGCGTAAGGTGTAAAGCTCCCAAATGTCTTACCCGGGGAGGGGGGGGGAAGAGTCTATCCCCTGCCTTGGGCTGCTCCAGTAACGGTCTGTCACCGTTTACAAAATAGAGGTACAGCGCCTGACGCAAGCTGCCCATTCCCTTGGCGCCAAGGGGAGAAATAACGTTTATTACCTGAGCCCGTTCCCGCCGTCCCCGGGGACGTGGGGCCGCTGGCGGGTCGCGCTGAGGCAGAACAGCAGCGAGGGGTCTCCCGGAGGGGTCTTCCGAGCAGGGCCTGGGAAGCGGCCCTCGGGGCTGAAGGGCGGCAGCCCGAGTCTGGACGTTGAACTGCCGCCGACTTGATGCGAATTTGCGACCCTGGCAATTAGTTCAGCGTTTTAAGCGTTTAATCTCCCCGATTTTCTCTTCCTTGCTGGGCATGCACAGTTACGCGCCGTGGCTCTGATCTGCAGAAGCGGCCAGCACCCACGTCTCCAGCGAAGTCACTGGCAGCTGAAGTGCTCGACGTATTAGCAGGTTGAAGTTAGGCTGCCAAAACTTACGACACCCAAAATAAACTTATGTTTTTAACAATGTTTTTTCTGTATGTCTTCGAAAGACAAATAATTGCGTGTGGCATGTCTACTGGGAATACTGTGAAGCAAAACTCATTACTATTTATAATGCATTTATGAGTTATCCATTGGAAGTGCCTTTAAAGTGCGATTTTATTCTATACTTTTTAACACTGAGGCGATCAGGTACTGGAAGACGTTACCGAAGTATATGTAAATTATTCATCATACGGACTTTTTCTATCAAATCAGATTTTTTCGATGATTCAGTTCAACTACAAGCTAGAGAGCCGTAGCTCCACTGATGGTACAGGGAACTTCAGCGTTTTGCTGCTAACTTTGGTCTTACTACAGCACCTGCATTTGTCCCTAAAATAGCTCATGAGTCCGATTTTCAAAAAAGCTCAGCATCTTCCTGAGCACTAACGTTTGGGCCAGTTTTCTAAGAGTTCTGCATACTGTGTGTGCATACGATATAAAAAGCTTTTCTGAAAAAAAATCTAGTCCTTCTCCAGCTGACCAAACAAGAATCCAGATTCTCCTGCCTTTAAATGCAATCCCTGGTGAGGGGCTCTGTTCGAACACGGTTACTGTGAGTGGGTCTTCGCTACCTTGCTCGTTGGGAGATACGGCTGGCTTCACAAATCGGCTGCTGTCGTTTTCGTTGCACTTTCTCTAGGGTTTCACAATTGCAAAGAGCCCCGTGGGCTTCTCTGCCTCCCGTGATACTGTGTTCTTGGCAGTGCTGTGGTGTGGGAGGAAGGCTGAGGGCAGGTAAGTGCCTTTCTCCCGGGTGCGATAGGCCCCCGGGCGATGGGTCAGTGGTGGGGAGAGGATCCAGTCATCTGGATAGTCCTTGCTTTATCCAGAGCCTGAGACTTTGTGCAATTATTGGAAATGGCCTTCCCTGCTTTTGAGTGTATTCGCTCTGAACTTGTGACGTTAGTGGAAAGTTAATAATAAAAAAGTAATAATAAGCACGAATCCAGTTCAAAGGGAAGATATATGCATTTTCTGAAGATTTGCGGGGGTTGATGCAAGCATGACATTAACTTGCATCTAATCAATCTAAGCCCGTTCTGTCAGCAAGATTGCAAAGATGAGTGTCGTATCTTTTCATCTCAATGTCAATTATTTTTGCTTTATATCATTTAAAATATATAAAAGATGTATTTATCTATTCCCTGTCCAAAGAAGAAAATTTTTGTATCCAGTATCAGTATCCAGGTGCACACAAAACCAGTCAAAAGCATGAAAAAGGTGAGGCTCCACATTTAATCCTGGCTCTGAATCTTTAGTTACATAATTTTGTATTCCATTATCTAAGATGTACTGTAATATCCATCATACTTTTTCACTAATCTTACACAGAGTATGCTTAACAGCTTGCAGTTCTCCTTCATTCTGCTACTTCCCGTTATTTCCCATTAGCATGATTATTCACTATCTTTATTACCTTTATGCGGTTGGTATTCTTCTCTCTCGTGAGTGGGCTGAATCCTCCATAAGTAGTCATAGGAACGACATCAATGGGGGATCTGGCTCCTCATACATTAATAGGAAAGAGTTGAGATGTCATCTTTAAGACCTACCCTCTGCAGAGGAAGGGTGAAGTATAATTTTAACTAGGGCCGTCCCAGGCTGTCCTCCTGTGTTCAAAAAAAAGTCTGCACCACTGCACGGCTCTGACTTGTTCCCCTGCTGCCCTTCCCCTCACCACGTACACAGTCCTGCCTCAAACACCCTGCAGGACCGCTAGAAAGAGTTCTCGGCGTAATCCCCCTTCTCTCTGCCTCTTGGTTGGGAAAGAAAAAGCCGGTAACCCATTTCAGTGTGTGTTTCCGCTGGCACGTGGGTGTGGACTCACCAGCTGGCCCCAGCTTATCTGCTTGTGCGGCAGGCGTTAAACGTGCACGGCTCTTGTTCTTCCTCGCTGTGTCACCAATACCTTCCATGGCCACGTTAGGGCTAGCGATAACTCGGTCCCTAAAGAGTACCCATCTATGAAAAACTTGATTATTTTAGCTCCGCTTCACTATGAGGCAAATCTGTGTGCTCTTGGAGGAACCTAGGTGTTCCAGCTGCCCTTAGCTACACATAATTACCTGTACTGCAAATAGCACGCGTGGCACTTAACTACGAAGGTAACTGACCCAGCAGCCAGTCTGGAGAGGTTACATCTATCGGCAGGTTCTCACTGTTGTCTGCGAAAGAAATGCTAGCTTTGACCGATCGGCGCTGACTCCATCTACGTGTTAGTATGAAATACTTCAAGGCCGCCTCTGTATGTTTATCTAGCAATACGAAAAACGTAAAATAGGTTGGAAAGGTAGTAACTGGAGAAGCAAAATATACTCACGTATTTAAAGACAACAGCCCAAATTTTCAGTTAGTACAGAATCTGAGTTACTCCATTCACTTCCAGTTTTCAGTAGCGAGGAGCTAGGCCTGAGGCACACCTTCTGGGGGCTCACAGAATGCATAAGAAGCTTTTTTTAACCAGTTTTTGATAACTTTCTTCTCTCTTTTGGCTGTTGTGAAGCTGATGGCTCTTTTTACTTCTCCGGAGAAGAAAAGAAGACAAAAAATTACCATCTCTGGTAATTTGTATCGTTACATTTCTAGTCTCCATGGAAACCTATGTGGTGCTCCACGGTCGGGTAATATTTCAATATGTTGCAGCAGAAATCAGATGGAGGGAAGACTGGGTTCTGCACCTTGCCTGTTAATCAATTAAAAATTGTTTTGAAATTATTTTCACATTGTGTTGCAACCTTCACTTAGACTAACAATGGAAGAAATCAAAGTAATCAAATTAAGCTATTATGGCCTGATCCTACATACACCTATGCGGTTTGATTCCGACAGGCATTGACACTAATTTGGAAGAATTCTTTGGGTTTAGTAGTGTTATATGGATTAATACTATGGAAACTGAAAGCATAATAACAAACTGTTTCTCAGGCTGACTCTAATGAAAGTTTAAAGCTTGCCAGATGGTTAGTAACAGTCCCCTTGTTGTAATTTACGCAAGCAAAGCATTTTGAACATAAAGAACCTTAAATCTTTATCTTTTTCTGTCTTCACTCTTGTTCTTCCACTACTCGAAACTGGTTTCCTCTGAAAAGCTATGGTAACTTCATCTACCTGCCTCTTCAGGATTTGCTTTTTTTATTCCAAGCTTTATCAACTTGAACACAAAGGCACATAGTCTTACTGGGACAGCAGAAGGTGATACGGAGAAGGAATATACAGAGAGAGACCAGTGTTGTTTTGTGACCACAGTCAACCCATGAGGAGTGAGTGCTCTCAGCCACCTACAAGTAAGTAAAATATATAGTAATGGAAATAATGCAGCCTACTGTCAACACATAAATGCTCCTGCATAGACAGCCGTGATAATAAGGTACGCAAAGAAATACATTAGTTAGAGAATTTTCTAAGCGTTTTACATTTGAACAATGAAAACCCAGTATTCGCTTTACAACTGCACTAATGGTGGAATACGGTTGTGATTTATGCCATTCACTATAACCAAACTACAAAATCTGATAATTTTGTGTGTATTTTGAAGGCATTTACTGCATTTGTTTCAGAATACCGTGGAGAAAATGTATGCTAGTCGAGAGGATATTGGATACGATTTTGGAGATGACTCAAAAGCTGGAAGTAAGCCAATTAAGCCTAATCCAAACATCGATGGAGGATGGGCTTGGATGATTGTACTTTCCTCTTTCCTTGTGCACATACTTATCATGGGGTCCCAAATGGCCCTTGGAATACTCAACATGGAATGGCTTGAAGAGTTTAATCAAAGTCGTGGCTTAACAGCGTGGGTTAGCTCCCTCAGCATGGGCATTACACTGATTGTAGGTATGTTCCAGCATAATTTATTTCAGAACTACACAGATTTTTAGAACATGTTTGCCACTCATCCCTCAAGTATTTTCTTACAGTTTTCCGTTTTATTAGCAGAGCTGCCCAAGTTCTCCTGAGTTGCCTTTTTAAAGTCACCAGGACAAATTTTACAAGTTAGAGGGAGAAAGGGAACAACAGGGAAGATGATGATAAAGAAGACAATTACTCCAGGAGACAGCATGAGCAGGAAAGGATGCCTGTGACTTCAAGGTCGCACTAGAATTAAGAAAGCAGATCATCTGTGAAGCTTGTGGTCCTCCCCGTACTCTATCTGGGAGGAGAAAATGTTGAATTTGGACAGTTTATATTTTCAATTTGGCAGATGAACTAGAATTTATTTTTTAAGTTGTGGTTGGATCAACCCAAAATAATATTTGGAGGGGTATGTTTGTGTATATATGTGTATACACACCTCTGTCTCCCTAAATTAAGATTGAAAAAGTTGTGTTTAGGTCTGCCTAAAATATTCCACTGAAAACAAAATGAAATGTTTACTTTCTAGTTACTTGTGAAAAAGGCCTGCACTCGCACAGCATTAGTATTGGGAACAACGGTTTCAGTTTCTTCCTCTGTTTAAACTGTCCCTTCCTCATGGGGCAACTTTGATTTTAGGTCCTGCGGGTATTTACTAAGTATTTGGTCAGTCGGTTGAATTTTTCTTTTCACGATATTAAACAGTAATAGGGAGAATAAACTGAATTGCATGAATAGCCTGATGCTTAACATTTTGTTTAAAACATTAAGACTCTTCATGTGAAAAATTATTAAAGAGTGTAGAGAATTAAATAAACAATTTAACATTTTTTCATGTTTTTTAACAGGCCCTTTCATTGGTTTATTCATCAGCATGTGCGGGTGCCGCAAGACAGCTATAATTGGAGGGATATTGAATGCCCTAGGTTGGATACTGAGTGCCTATGCCTCAAATGTGCACTACCTCTTCCTTACATTTGGAGTGACTGCCGGTAAGCTGTACTAACGTTTGACAGTTCTTTCAATTATTTTTGATTCCTTTGAAGGTTATCTGGGTGAGTAAAGAGGGAAGTTAGACTGTAAAGTTATTCCAGCTTTTCTTTCACACTCTTTACAGCCTGTTATCTTTCCAGAAAACTTACTTATTTACTCAGTGGATTGGGCCCCGATGACTTTTGTTGTCATTTACATCTGCCACGTCAAGATGGTATTTTTATCAGTTTCTCCCAAGTGAATATATTAGAGGACATTTTTAATTAGAAGAATTAATGTAACCCAAACTCTAACAAGTGGAATTTAAAGATGTTAAAACATGGTTGAATTATATATCTAGCTAACTCCTCTCTTTGTCACAGGAAGAAACAGCAAGTGTTTTCTACAGGAGCTGCTCGCCATTAATAAAATACACGATTATGATAACTATGTACTGCTTCAAAACCCATTTTAAAGGGTGTTGTGGGTTACTGCTGGTAGGCAGCTAAGCCTCACACAGCTGCTCGCTCACTCTCCTGCGGTGGGACGGGGGAGAGAATCAGAAGGGTAAAAGTGAGATAAGGACAGTTTAAGAGGTAAAGCAAAAGCCGCGTGCACAAGCAAAGCAAAACAAGGAATCCATTCACTGCTTCCCATCGGCAGGCAGGTGTGCAGCCATCTCCAGGAAAGCAGGGCTCTGTCACGCCTAACGGTGACTTGGGAAGGCAAACGCCATCACTCTGAACGTCCCCCCCTTCCTCCTTCTTCCCCCAGCTTTATATACTGAGCATGACGTCATATGGTGTGGGATATCCCTTGGGCCAGCCTGCTCGCTGGTGGGGTGGGGTGAGAGGCAGAAAAGGCCTTGACTGTGTGTCAGCACTGCTCAGCAGTAACGAAAACATCCCTGTGTTATCAGCACTGTTTCCAGCACAAATCCAAAACACAGCCCCGTATGAGCTACTGTGAAGAACATTAACTCTACCCCAGCCTGAATTAGGACAATGCATGTGGCTGTATTTCATGCGCCGTTTCTAATAGAGGATATTCAGATTACATCAACAACTGCTAATAAATAGCATTAATTTTGCTACATTGTTTTACAATCAAAATCACTGAAAGAAGTAATATTTCGTTATTTTTATTGGAATTAGGTCTCTAGAAAACCTTTTGACATGTGTAAGAGCCCAATCAAAAATATGAAAAGGCATGCGTGTTTAGGCATCTTTCTTGAAAACCAATAGATCCTTAGTGCCTGAATGCTCAGTTTCTAGCAAAACGTGGCTTCTTGTGAAAAAATTTAGTTACTTTAAGAAAGTTATGTAGAAGAACCCAGTATTATCTACTTAAAGCACTACTCCATTTTATTCACTGTTCATTTCTGGAAAGAGAAGCTGTTAATAGGCATGAAACGAAAATGTTCAAGTGATCCAAGTGAGAAATACAAAATTTGGCCTTTAATAATTATCTGAGCGACACTGAGCAATTCCAGGGGCTTTGAAATATTATTCACTCGACGGATAACGTGGCCAGTTACGTTTGCAAACAAAGCATGGTATCTGTGTTATACGTGACAGATGCGTTATGAAAAAAAATTGTTTGCAATACTAATAATAGCTTCAGTACCCTCCATTCCCCCAAACTACCCTTTCACAGAATTACAGAGAAATCTGCAGAATTTCTGTACGTCATTTTTTACCTAGCTCTCTGGATGGAAAAAAATTGAAACTAGCAAGCATCACTGTGACGACTCTTTATACCACCATACCGTAGCTTTCAGTAACGTTGTAAATTCCTGAACAAAGAGCAATAATTACATGCAGGGTTCTGCCCTTTTCGGAATTTCTGTTTCCATATATATTGAATATAATCAAGCAGACGGGAATCTACACACTCTTTATCTCAGCCCTTGCTCCTTTTCAGAAAGAATGTACTGTTTTTTCGCCGCAGTCAACGGCAGGCCGGTCTGACGAGGCAGGGAGTCTTTTGGGGGGGCAGAGAGTTTGTGGCTGGGTTTGGGGAGGGAGACCTTGTGCCAAACAAAAACCTGATCGTGTATTTGCATAGCAAAGGAATAAATACTTCTAACAGGCGAAACAAGTCAGCTCTGACCACGGTACACTGCCGTGATGTTCAGGTGCTTTTTTTCAGGCTTTGCTGGAATAACAGCTCTGTCTCCGATCTAGCTGTAGCTAGATCATGCTGTAGCTGCATGCAGCTGCATTATCAGCTGTTTAGGAAAACTTTTAAGCCCAAAACACTCTTCTAAATTACGATCACAGTGGATTTGGAAGCATCTTCTGCATATACCTCTTCCAGTCTAAATCCCCTCTGTCAGGAATTTGCTGTGAGAAAAACTGGGCAACTGTTACCTTTAATGATGTGTTTGCACAACTCTCACCACTTTCTGCTTGAAAGAGGTACCATTAATACCCTGGTTTTTAACTACAAGTGAGGGAATTTCTACAAAATTAGAGATCCGTCTTTTAAGAATGTGCCTGTGCGGCTACTGTGTGGCCCTCCCTGGACTTCCCTGGAGCGCCCAAAGAGAAACCTGGCGGCCACCCGAGGTCCTACCACCGGGCTAACCCCCCGTGCTGACCCCTGAAACGTACCTCACGGTCACTGTGGCCCCACAGTTGCAAAGCAAGGACAGAAAACTCAGTCGGGATCTTCATTGCTGGTGAACTTAGGCAAAAGCAATTTCTGGTCGCTGATGCAATCAGACGCAAATACAGCAAATGCAGATATTTCAAAATAGGGTTTGTTTATGTTTGTCCCCGTATTGACTGTCACTGATTTACTGTGGGATGTTGGGGCTTTCCAGTGGTGTCACGCTGAACTGAGGTAAAGGTTTTATCTTCCACGTGTTTCAGTTTTTCCAGCAGTTAAATAGCAGTATTGTATTCTCACTGGAATGAGTATTGCAAATTTTGGAAAATACTGCAAGGCAGAAACGAAAGTTAACATGAGAATTGAATATTATTTATTCCCGGTTTTGCTGCTATGCTTGTGCAAAAGTTAGGCACAAAACTGATTCATTTCACTGCTTTTTATCATGTCGGCAAGAAGTTCCGATTGACTTTGGTTTTTATTATTTTCATAGGCGTTGGAAGTGGCATGGTTTATCTGCCTGCGGTGGTCATGGTGGGGCAGTATTTTCAGAAGAGAAGAGCGCTTGCACAAGGACTCAGTACCACGGGAACAGGGTTTGGAGCTTTCCTAATGACTGCCTTACTGAAGTACCTCTGCACCGAATTTGGGTGGAGGAATGCCATGTTCATCCAGGGCGCCGTCTCCCTCAACCTTTGTGTCTGCGGGGCGCTTATGAGACCGCTCTCTCCCAAAGACGTTGTTAGTGAAAAATACGTTGCGAGGAGTAATAGTGAAGATAATCAGGCAAAAGCTCTGTCCCATTCGGCAGAGACTATAAAATCTAACGGAGTCCTCAGTGAAGAACCGGAAAAAAAAGAAGAGGCAACAAATGAAGAAGTGCTTGACAGCGTTCAGCACATAGAAATTGGAGGTAAATCTAGAAGCGGAAGGAATATGTACGGACTGCGCATTCTTAAGACAGTGAGCCAGCTGACGGTTACGGTCAGGAAGGGCTTTGCAATATGGTACTCCAGCTACTTTGGAGCTGCGTCACTGTTTACCAATAGAGTATTTGTGGCCTTTATAATTTGGGCTTTGTTCGCCTATAGCAGCTTTGTCATTCCCTTTATTCATCTCCCAGAAATAGTCAAGCAGTACAACTTACCTAGCCAGAACAATATATTCCCTCTGACATCCATTATAGCCATTGTTCATATTTTTGGTAAAGTGATCCTTGGAATCATCTCTGATCTCCCGTGCATCAGCACGTGGAACGTCTTCCTCATGGCTAACTTTACCCTGGTCACCTGCATTCTTACTTTGCCACTAATGCAAACATACGTTAGCCTGGCTGTGGTTTGTGCTCTAATAGGATTTTCTAGCGGCTATTTTTCTCTAATGCCTGTTGTGACTGAAGATTTAGTTGGAACTAAACACCTTGCAAATGCCTATGGCATCATCATTTGTGCCAACGGAATATCTGCATTGCTTGGACCACCCTTTGCAGGTAAAAGGTTCAAATCTCTAACCAACAGATGTTTGTATAATAACCGTGTCACTTCTTCTATTATTGAGATTTCTTATGTTCTGAGCACGTGTAGTTAACAAAATTACAGCTGCTCCGGGACGGACCGTAACATCCAGCTTTACATTGCACAAATTCACAGATCACATCGGCTGGGTACCAGCTCACTGTTCACACACTGCAAATTACCATCCTTGCAAATAACCCCAAATCTATCGCAAGCTCGCCTTTCAGTGGTACGTTTCCTTGCAATATTATCACACGCTTTTTTAAAATGGAAAGGTTTAACCTATTTTTATGTGTTTCGTGTAGTATGTGCGCTATCTCATGCCTCCAGATGAAACAATGATGAATAGTTTTCAGGGTAGGCAGGTGTTTGTACCGCAGTATCACCCCCAAGAACTATGAAGTGTGTTTGGGTGTCACCACCCTAAGCTGCCAATGGATGTGTTGATTTAACTGACTTAGCTTTGCCTTCCTTCAGCCAGAAATACCTACTTTGGGGCCTGCACTGCTCATAATCTCTTGACGGCCAGCCACAGCAGAAGGTAGAAGTGTATGTATGTTATCCCTGAAGTTACTTAGGTTTAAACAAACATTCATGATAAATTTTCTCATAGAAGGAGGCAGGGAAGCACAGGAGAGATACAGGTGCTGATCGTCAATGCTAAAGCCAGACAGACTACGGCTATCTTTTACGGATACGCAAATCGGAAGAAAGCAGTAAGAAACCTTGTGAGAACGGCGGTGGTCAGCCAGGGATGGCACTAGGCTGAACTGAAGCTGTTGGCAGCACAAGCGAGAATGCTCTCACCTTCTCTCCCCACCGTTGAGTGAGCTGACACGATTTAGGAGAAGGCTCATTTAGCGCCCTTTGAAAAGCAGCAGTGTTTTACTCTACCGCGTATTCTTTCAGCACCGCTCAGTCTGCGCTCAGCGTGTCTTTGTATTTGGTCATTAGCAACGAAGCAAATAGGATGCAATTAGCTGATGTGAAAAAAGCTTCTGATCTTGAGGTTACACCGCAGTGCAACCAGCACGACAGGAGGGAATTTTGCTATTTTGGGTTCTCAAACCTTTCCGAAGTAACTTCAATGTATTTTTGCGACGTTTCAGCACCGCTCAGTCTGCGCTCAGCGTGTCTTTGTATTTGGTCATTAGCAACGAAGCAAATAGGATGCAATTAGCTGATGTGAAAAAAGCTTCTGATCTTGAGGTTACACCGCAGTGCAACCAGCACGACAGGAGGGAATTTTGCTATTTTGGGTTCTCAAACCTTTCTGAAGTAACTTCAATGTATTTTTGCGACAGAATTAAGGTTGGAATGAGAGTCATTGCAGTACTGAGATTATCTCTCTCGAAAAGTCTTTTATCGGTACGCGAGTCTCTGAGAAAGCTGTTGGGAATGTGTTTGCTTGCACAAGGCACAGCATTTGAAGTAGCCTGCAGTATCGGGCGTTTTACAAAGAAAACAGTGGGGTGGAAGAACTAATTGGTTTGGGATTCCAAAATGTCTGTTTTAAAGTCAGACCTGTGATAACTTATTTGAAAAACGTACAGTTTCAGAGGGAAGGTTGCTTGGCTTCTCGGGATGGCACAGAGCTAGGCTTCCGTGATAGGGAAATGAGGGGATAGCTTTTGCACTAGTTCTGGTGAATGAGCAGGAGATTTTGTTAATACATTTCCATTTGTAGCATCTAGAGGAGGAGACAATTGCCCCCTCTTTTTTCCACAAAACATCTATGGATTTGACTGAAATGCCGTAAGAGAAATGTGCAGTGTTTTTCGTGTTTTCCCATGTGGTGTACCTTGTTGTCAAGCTTTGTAACAAACCTGTTCTGTCCTTATTTTGCAGGTTGGATCTATGACATCACACATAAATACGATTTTTCTTTTTACATCTCTGGCTTGCTATACATGGTGGGAATAATATTTTTACTTATACAACCTTGTATTCAAAAGAAACAACCAAGAGAAAAATCTACGGAAGAGGCACAAGTATAGAACAAATTCCAGAAGCTTTTTTACAGAATTTGCTTTCCTCTTTCTATTGTATGACAGTATGAATTTTTCTTATGGAACCAACCGCATCGAGCTGTACTCAAGTGAAAAGCAAATGTGCTCCAAAATGCTAATAAATTATTAGAAATTTGCTTTTAAAATGTTAAGATCTTTTACTTTGGAACTCATACAGCGATTAAAAGCACCCTGCCAGTCTTTTAGAATTGGAACAACGCTAGGAGCCTTCACCCTTGCTTCTCTTCTAACTTTTCACCACTAACGGCTGGTGAAACTCCATCGACTGCAGTGCAGTCACTCCTGATTTACACTAGTCCTACAAGAGAATTTGATCAGGATAGGAATGATTTATCAAAGTCCTTCCTACTGTGTGTTCTGTCTGATAAAAGATTAGTTGCCGAGTATGAGAAAACGATTGTATTTCTTACCTGGCTAGTCAGGTACTGTTGAAATGCTAGTACAATAATTCAATTAATGCAGTGTATTAAAATTACTATTTCTGTGATGCAAAACGGAAGAAAAGTTCTTATATTTTTCTGAAACTACTCTTCAAGGATTTTTTATTTTATTTTTTTAAAGTATCAACTGCATATAAAGTAGCCATCCTCGATACATAGGCTGCATCCTCAGTACAAATGCTGTGACGCTTAATGCACCTGACGTAAAACAAACGTAAAAGGAAAAACAGGCAACGTATGGAAAATATTATTGTTATTCACAAACTGGAAAATGTTTCCAGAACCAGTTTGACGTTTCTGGCTGCTTTACCTAATTAGAGGTATTGTAGAACTTCGTAACATTGCCATGGACTCCTTCCATGGGACTTGTTTGTCAAGTAAACAGTACTAAAGAAGCAGAGTTGGGCAAAATTGGCCAAAGGAAAAACAGGCAACGTATGGAAAATATTATTGTTATTCACAAACTGGAAAATGTTTCCAGAACCAGTTTGACGTTTCTGGCTGCTTTACCTAATTAGAGGTATTGTAGAACTTCGTAACATTGCCATGGACTCCTTCCATGGGACTTGTTTGTCAAGTAAACAGTACTAAAGAAGCAGAGCTTGGCAAAATTGGCCACAGTTTTAGAAAGAACTGGACTACAGCACGCTAAATTTTGTTAGAATTAATTTAGTAACAGAAACTGTTACATTATGATCAGTTGTGTTGCTGCTCATAAGGTACACCATGAACTGTCTAAGACCGGTCACGTTTGAGATGTTTATTCACTAGAAAATTAGACAATGCAAAGCATGGAAGAGCTAAAGACCATTTAAAAATACTCAAATAAATTTTCTTAAACAACATTAAGCGCCTGGTAATCAATGCAGAATGTTTTGTACGGTGGTACAAGACATACTGTTTTCAGCTTTGAGAGGTGAGTCTGGTGTTAATTTTCCTATATCAAATAAAAGTCACTGTATGTTTTTTTCCTGCTAGCTTTATGAAAGTTTTTTCATGACAGATCAGGTTCTTAGTTTAATACTGATACATGCTGCTGGAATTCTTTAGAAACAATTGACACCGTTCAATTATATTGAACAAATATTGGGAAACAGTTGAGTATGCAACAATATCGTTATACGGATCCTTTTTATAGCTGCAGGGTTGGTTTAAAAAAGGGTTCTGAACCTCAGCTTGTATTGTTCTATATTGCAATTCACCAGCTCCTTAGTTTCACACTTCTACGGCTGTTGGCAGGGACATCCTTGAGAATAGATCACTGAAATGAGCCACGTTAAAAAAGAAAACCTTAAGAAAACTCCAGACTACTTCAAGATTTAGATCAGTTCATTCATACAGGATAGTTATGTGTGGCCTTTAAAATTCATATTAAAATAACTGAGGTGGCAGTGGACTGCAACACACGGTGTGAAGACGCAGTCAGTAATTTCTTAAAATCAGCTTTTTGGAGAAAATGTTTGTGTAAACTACACTTTCACATCAGTTCTTTTGTTACAGGTTTAATGTCTTCTTGGTGTGAATGCTGCTGCTTATTTTAACTGAGCTATCTTTTATTGGTGAAATATATATATATTGAAGTGATGATTTCCCTCAATTTCCTTTTTTTTCTTTTTGAAAGATATGTACCCTTTATACCTAGATCTTCGTCTTTTGTCAAAAATCAACTTTATTTGCATATTACTGTAATGAATAATACGTTGTTCACTTATGATATCTGCAGTATATCTTTCTATAGAAGTCCTCACTGGGCCATATGATGGGAATAAACTTACGTTACCCAAAATTTCACTTTCTGTTCATTAAGTAAGTTCATTTTTTTAAGCTTAAAAATGAAGATTCTCCTGCAAAATGATTGTTCTTATTTCTTGTAACGGAAGGGACGGGTACATGGTTGATCAAGGAGAAGGGAAGGTGGGCTGACAAAATCGAGTTAAATTAGGATTTTAAATTAATATTCACTCAGTCCGTATTGGCTAGCATGGGTTCTAGTTTCCTAACCTGAAACTGCCTAAATCTGTTACAAGACCACAAGCTAAGAAAAAAATTCATTGGTGGTAAATCGACAGAAAGTGAGAAAAGGGTCTGTTGTTTAGTAGCCCTGCTCACATACTGTAGTTCTTAAAATCACCTCTCTAAAGCAAAATGACATTTTATAGTGTTTTATTACACAGAACAGAAATTTTATGAATGCAGTATTTTATGCACATCGTGAAATTTGTATTTATCATTGTCCTAAAAGGAAATAGTCACAAAGAGGAAAGAATATACTTCAGTGTTTCTTCATCTAAAGATCCACAATCACCAAATGCTTCAAGAATACAGTTGTAGAACAAAATATTCTTAATCTAAATTAGCAAATATCTTTTAAGAATTAAAATACTGCTTTGTAAAGAAATAGAATGATATAAGAACCCTGTATTCATAGTTTTTAATCAATTAATAAAACGTTAAAAAATTGTAAACCTAAGACGCCCTTCAAATATTACACTGTTATATCCAAATACGGCAATCGCTGTTTTTAGTACTCAGGCCTTAATTCTAGTCAGTGGCAAATGATACGTTAATCAACAGGTACTTTCAGAGTAGTAATATTTGGCCGCTTAATTACTGAAGTTGATTGTTGGAGTAAGTCAGTAATGTCAGTAAGAACTGCCTTCATTTTACAGCACTCTTCAGTAACCATTGTTACGGTCTTTTAAGATAGCGAACGTCTCTTACCAAATACGCAACTGGAACAATGGAAGTCAATTACTGTCAGAAGTTCCTGCATCAGCAACATCAAGGAAGAATTTTGCCATATACCATTCTGGCAGAGTGCTTCAGACATGATTCTGGTGGATTGTCCGAGATGAGGATGATCATTTGATCCACACCCTCAGTCACCAAAGAAGTTTCTTCTTGGTGACAAAATTATTATTTGCTTGAAGTTTAGATAATTAATTTTAAAACATTTTAACACACATCAAAAACTGGAACCAGCCATATGTGACTTGCCTATAAACATTGCAGATTTACCATGGTGGACAGTAAAAACCTCAGCGTTCATCAGCAACTTTTGTAGTAGGAAATGATAGATGGTTTTCTATACAGGTAATGATGACAATGCCGTAGCATCTGATACAAGGCACGGAGCATGTATAGCGTATATACAAAATAGAGAAGTCAGAACAAGTACAAAGAAGCCACAACCTCTTCTAATACTAGTAACTGTTACGATGCTGACTGTAATACAATTTCAGGATGCCCAACATATTAAACTTTGTATTATTTGCATGTTGCTCTGCGTAAGACATTTTTTTTTTCCTCTTTCAATCCTTAAAATAATCTGCTTTCCCTAGTAAAGCAGAAAAGTCAGTATGTCTGACCTGAAAAACAGCGAACCCACACCTTCTAACAATTGCTTCAATGAAAAATGCATCTTTATTCAGTTAGTTTTTTGTTCCGAGCATCTTGTCTCTGCCTCCTCCTCCGGAGCTGCAGCTGCAGCTGCAGCCTGTTTGTGAAGAAGAATTGTTTCCAGCCCATTTCCTCTGCAAGTTCTTTCATTTCAGGTGTAATTGTGTCGCACAAGTTCTCCACAATGTTTTCCCATAGCGCGTTACTGTTACTTATCTGGTTGCAAGAGAAAGTAGAGGCTTAAAATCATAATTTGGCTTATTCATTGCTGATCATTTTACTACACAGAATGTGTTTAGACAACACAGACGCCTTGTCTGAAGGTCACTTGCAGTGCAAGTTGCCCACCTATCTTGAAAGACGCGGTATTAGTTAAAACTCACGATGACATCAGTGGGAGTTTTGCCCAGTGTTGCCAACGCAAGATTTTGCATGTTCTTCTGTGAAAAATTCAAGAAGTTTTGTTTGGTATGATCTCAAAGGCCTTTCTGCCACGCCAAAAGCAGCTGTAATGCCACAACCTTTCCTGGTACGTAATTCACAGAGCCCCACGGAAATAAATGAAGCTGTGTAAGATTATGCCAAAGAACTTGTCGGGATGTAGCAGTCACATCACAAATACTAACCGGTTTTCAAGGTAAGTAAAAGCAGCAAACTGCCTTTGGACCTACAACAGAAATGGAATGTTAGGGAGCTTTCAGAAGCACTGTAGGGATTACGCCTGTTTCTCAGGAGATGCTTCCCTCTTTAAGAATGACTCCATAAACAGAATCAGGTGGAATTATTATATTTTAAACAGGAAGAAAAAAATACCTAATTTGTTAGATGACAGAACCGTCACAAAAAAAGAATTAGGAAGATGCTCTGTGTCATTGTATATTATCTGCCCGTTGTAAGTTTTACCAGAGCTTATTAACATTGATGCTTCACCCGAACGCTCCACTTTCCTAAATGTGTAATTGCAGGGACCTGAGTGGAGCTGTACTAGATCACTCCGGTGCAAGTGGCCGGTATGTCCGTCACAAGTAGTAACGGACACAGAAAAGCAAAAGCCCTTTGAATAATAGAATAACAGAATAACTGAATAACAGAATAACTTCTGTTCCATGCTGCTGGCGTAGCCGGACACCTTAAACCATTTAATTCACCGGCTACAGCAAAGCTGTAGCTCTCGCTCTTGCGTTGGGAACTTGGCTCCCTCTGGCGGGAGGAGCTTCCTTGGGCTCACAGAAAGCCGTATTTCTCTTTTTGCAGTTTAATTTTGCCCGTTTTGGCTAAATAACGACCTTGTACAAAATAAACGAATCCTACCCAGAGCGTGCTGGGGGACATCACAATATCGAAGTTTGCTGAAAAAGTATTTGGAAAACTCATACAGTGCTCCAGCGGTGGTGTCCGCATTAGGACTTCTGTACATTGTTTCTTTTGAGATGGAGCTTCTTTTACAATACTTAAAAAGAGTACCTAGTGAAAATCTGAAATACTTTGAAACTCATATTGGAAGCATCGGAATACTCTAGAGAGCAGGACTTATGCTGAGAACTACACAGTCAGAGAAACGCTGTGCTTTGGGTAACAAATGAAGATATCGGTATAGTTCAGCCTACGAGGATGCGTTGCACAGGATGGACGTGCGGAGCCTTTCACACTCCACTTTTCAGTCCTGAGTGCAGATACTGTTCTCTTTTTCCCTGTTTGAAAATCTGAATATGCTATTTTATAATTCCACAGAGAGCAGCATTCCAGCCTACACATAAATTAGCCTGGAAATGAAAACTCATAGTATTGGGGCAAGTTTTTAATTCCTTAACAATACTGCTGAAATGAGAGTAAGAGAGCATGGCATTACTAGTTGTAATAGGTTATTTCATTGTGCCAAAATCTTACCTTTATTATTATGCAACTTAATTCTTTCTAGGATTTCCTTAAATTCCAGAATATCCAAGGCTTTGTGTTAAACTAATGAAAAGTTTACTGCCCTCCACAGTACCTCATCCTACTCCACTCACACTCTGCCAATGACAGATGGATTCCAAAGGTACTAACAAATAATTTCCTGACCTCCCTTCTATCCATTCTCTTCCTCCCCTTTAGTTGTTTTTATTCTCTCATCCTCTACAGGTTGTTTCCCGGTCACATCAACTGTTTTATCTTCAAACTGAAATAAAGCCCAGAACTCAGCAAGCTTATCCACTTCCATGTGCCCTTCATCTCTAAATTCACGACATGCTCTATTTTGCTATCTCGCCATTTTCTCCTGTGCTTTATACCGTCTCCTATTTCTTGTGCTCACTTGAACGCACTCTCTAAAGCATCTATAATGTCTTTGTAGCCGCACCATAGGAACAGCAGCACAGCCATGTCCTCTTGAACTGTTAGCAGTCTTCCACAGAACTTTTCTTGAAATCTTGGGCCACGTAGCCTCAAAATAATACAAATCCTGTGAGCAATCTCATCCTGATACAATTTGGACATGTACTCTGTACCAGAGACATGTCCTGTTCTCCAAACTAAAAGGTTGATCTGTCTCTGAAGTCTTTCAGAGAGTATCTAGCTGCCACATCAGACTCAAGATGACTAAACCTGTTTTTATCTTCCTCCTAAGGTCTCACCATTACTTACGTTTTCAGTAACCGTACAACCCATAACTTGACAGGCTTCATTCTAGGCTCCTACGGCACCCCTGGGGATAAGAATCAAGTTATTGTTCTCTTTAATATGCTTCTCTTCCTATTTTTCATAAGCTAAAACCCCTTTCACCCCCTACCTGAGTTACTGCAGCAGCCTTTTCTCAGGCTCTGACTGGGATAGAAAATGCAATTTTGAGGTATTCAGACCCACAAAAATAAGCTTCCTAGATCACAGCTCCAAACATACTCTCTTTCCAGCCCTCCAACTACCTGACCCTGCACAGACCAGGCAGTTGGAACAGACGACCTCTCAAAGGCCTTTCCAGCACAGCCTAAGTTACCCTATGACTTCTCTCGTTTTGCACCAACAGATTTGGCCCTCATTCTCCCGGGACTTCCAGGCTACCCTTCCCTGTTTGTTACCCCTCACTCAGCACTGAGAGGCTACCCTTAGCTCCGATCAGCCAACACTGGCAACTTCTGTTACTCACTCTTTAAAGTTTCAATTCAACATGTTCATACTATTTCCCATACTTTCCTGATAGTTGGAAAGAGCTTCCTAGCAAGCAAGCGTAATGTCATCTCTTTCTCCTCCTGTGTTTCTTACAGTTCCTTGCTGCGAGGTCTACGAAAATCTTGAAAAAAATCTCTTTCCTTGTGCTCCTGTTTTTTGTCAAAGACTTAAAATGTAAGCTCTCTAGGAATGGCAATGATTTTTTGTTCGTGAATGAGTCTAGCGTAAGGGGATCCTGGTCCGCGGTTGAAGTTTCTAGACATTACAATAATACGAATCATAATGCAAAGCACAGGTTTTACATTTCAGATACTTAATCCTGCATAACGCCCAACCATGGGTTACAATGGAATTATCTGGATCATTGTGTTTATTATATGCAACAAAAGTTTGCAGGATAAGCACAGTCTAACAGCCTTTCTACGATCTAGTTTTTATTGCACCCATTCAGTTGTTTGTATACAGATGATTAATTTATCGTCTCAAACTTTAAGTAGAGCAGACAGATTGATGATTATATTAAATGAGAGATGAATCAAAACCAACATGCTGCACAGCAAAGCTAACAATTTTTAAATAATTTATAATTTATTTTTTAATTTTATTTATTTATTTATTTATTTATTTTTACCATTTCAAATCTGCGTGAAACTTGAGAAAGCCTGGCAATGTCTTCAAGCTCCAGAAAGGAAATGATGTACAGGAGCAACGGGACAGGAAGCCGTTCCAGGAAGTCATAGTTACCTCGGCACAGATTGAGGACATGTTCCAGAACTTTGGCACCAAACACTATAGCAATCTGAACTGTGATTAAAAAAAAAAAAACAACACAAAAAAACAAATCCCAAGAGACGACAGATTTGTAAAGGCCTGAAATTTCTTCCCAATAATCCCACGTTATTCACATGCATCTTAAAAAAAAGAAATCAGAAAAGTCAGCTCAATTTTTTTTATGTTTTCTAGAGAAAATAACATATAATATCTTATATTGAACATTAGTAATTTATAGTATTTCAATACATCTTAAGAGTTGCTAGTGACATCTAGGAAGCCTGAGCAGTAAAACAAGGCTTTAGTTAAAAAACTGTACATTGTCTAGTATACAGCAAACTCTTGTCTCAGCTGAGGAACAGTAAAACAGCAGCAAAGCTGAACTGAAACTTGTCCAGATCCATTTTGTCCACTTTCCCGCATATATATATTTATTTACATAAAGACTGTGCTGTTTACTCAGGAGGAGGTTAGTAAAACAACTGAAAAAAAGTACTTCGGTTGTATGCTTTGGGGAAAATAATGATGGCTCTGACATTAAGAGTCCCTGTAGCTCTGCTTCTTACCTTATGTAGGTACAGTTAAACCACTAAAATGAAATTGAAGACAGTTTTCTTCTACAGTGACATGACATTTTTTGACTCATTCACTTTGTGATCCAGTACAACACCAAATTCTTTTTCTATAGATCTGCTACTTCGTGAGCTACTCCCCATCCTGCATTCATAGTTGATTATTTCTGCTTCAGTGTCCAACTTGGAACTTGGCCTTTTGAGTTTACCAGTGTTTCTTCAGATCTTTTATCTATTTTATCAAATTGCTTTAATAAAAATACTAGTTCATTATAAAACAGGATCCTGAATTCAATTTGCTATGCTTCTAATGAAAGATCAGTGGTAAATTTTGGAGCTGCATGTTGTTGCAGATCTGACGACATGAATGCAAGCCATCCAGGTTTGTAAAGGACTTTTTTCTTTTTTCTTTTCATACGGGAACACAGGGATCAAAATTTAAATTTAAAGCAGAATTACTATTTTTTGTATTATGAAATTATTCTAATGCATCCGAAGTGGGTTTCGTTGTTGTTGTTTTGGGGATTTTTTGTTTTGTTTTTTTTTAACCAACTAAAGTCTCTCTTCTCATGTATGTTAAAATCATAAAAAGAGAGAGAAACAGAATCATGGAAGTTGAAACTATACTGACCATAGGCAGTAAGCGCATGCAGTTTTGATGCAGCAGTTTTCCTTCCAAAATATTTTGTAAGATTAGTTACAAAACTCAAGCTTATGTGAATACATTTGAAAAAGCTTTCCAAATTACAAGATTTCACTGTTATGATGCTAAGATTTTTTTCTTCTCTTTCTGTTCCAAATATTCCTAAGGTAGTTATGTAGAAGGAAGCTGTCACCCCTTATGTTCCTTCGCGTCTTTGGGTAGATGGCCCAATACTGTTCAAGCTTTCTTTTCTGTTGCTGTATCATACTGCAAGCACAAACAGTTTGCTGTTGGATCTCATTTGCTTTTTTGCTTTCCAAGCATCTCAGTTCTATATCTCAGTTGGTAATTTTCCTCAAATTCCTTATGCAAGTACAAAAATGATCTACACAGTCAACTAAAAATTGTCTGGCTGATCTAGTTCAAGCTGAAATGTAAGAATGATCCAAGTCTTCACATACTAGGAATGACGAGTATAATGTTTGTAGTGTGCATCTATTTCATGTTGAATGATTAAGCAGGCTACCACATGAATATTTGCTGCTCCTTGAGTTTTTCTTGAAAATTATTTATTTCTAGAAATAATAATGTGACCTGGTTTGGCTATTTTAAAATACATTTAGCTGTATTTATTTTGCTTGATAAATGTTGCTGCAGCTAATGATGAACTAACTGTGAAAGTATATTGAACTTCAGGTTTTCTGTGAAATTTTCATCCTGTGAGTGCTGGATACTACTTGACAACTTCTACTATTTGTTCACTCATCCAAAAATGTAAATAGACCTCTCTTCTTTTGCCCTACACTATCATCAATTAATTTTCCATCTTTACAAACCCATAATGAAAATCTAGCCATATACAAAATCTTGCTCTTCCCTCTTGGCTCTATCAAGATTATGAAAAGAAACAAATGATACCTTACTTCACTGTCCGAAAAGAAAAGAAAGCATTTCAAAACACACACAGATGTTTACAGCTGTATGGTAGTTAATAGAAATTTACTAGAATGTTAATGTTTATTATAATAATGTTTACTTCTTCAGTTTTCTATTGGATGCTTCAAATGCCTGTATGGGATACTGATAAAATGTCTCATTTGCAGGGGGACTATCCTTTCTATGCTGATTAGAAGTAATTTAAGCACCCCCCTTTTTTTTCTTAAACAAATTTTCTCTAAAAATCTCCAACCATGTGAAAACAGATGAAGTCTTAGGATTGAGAACTAGGAGATAACGACAGGAAATACTAATACTTAACAACAGATAAACATTTTGCTGGTAGGGGTGTACCAAATATTTAGCAGCAAACCATGGATCTGGTGAGGAGTCTTTTATTTGAACCCTCATTTGGCAACAAATTCAATAAGGATAACTAGAATATTATTCCAATATATATATTTGTGGAGAATTATGGAAAAAAAAATCTGTGAATACTTAGAAGAACAGCAGCAAAGCTCCTCTTAACAGGAGGTGAGAAGGAGGTGTAAGAACATCTGATTGTGTGGAACAGCAAGAGCTATGGACAGAAATATCAGTATAACAACAGAGCTTCTCACAAACATAGCAATTCGTATTTGTAATACTTCTATTTATGTTAGCATTTTTCTGAAAACAAAACACTTACTTCATATTAAAAGTTTACTAAAAACCAGAGGGAAAACCCCATGTATGATTTTAAAGATAATTTTAGAAGGAGGAAGAAATGACTAAACGTTAGGAAAGAATGGCAATTGTGGCTTTCAATACTTCCTATGGGATAGGAAACCTCTGAACCACCACCACCAACACTTTTCAAGAAAAAGCAGGCAGATCTTATTTGTAACCTACTGAAAACACACAGGATAACAGCAGAAAACTGCATGTTAACAATAATTTAACTATTTGAATCGTTGTACCCAAGTAATGTAAAACAGATGTTTTATTGCAACACTATATTAATATCAAATGCCACAGGAAAATCTTACAGTGTAAGCAATGAGGAAAAAAGCCAAGCTAAAATCCTCACCAATATATATTCACATATCAAATCTATTTTTATGAGGTAAATAAAAAAAAATTAAATTTTGAACATAAAACCACTAAAACCTATCGCTAAAATTCAGCTATACATTCTATGTAATTCTTGGCAAAAAAGTTTAGAAGACTACTTCTTTGAAAGCTCAAGTTTATAAAAGTTGATACTCAATTTTGTCAAATTAAAATGTTGTGCAACTCTTTGCCTCAACTAATGGAACGATTATAAACACCTACTGCAAAAAAGCATAGCATATTTAAAGACCCCCTGCACACTAGCCAAATTCAGCAGGCAGTCCATTTTCTATTGGTTCATGATACATTCACTCCCCTTCTAGTCAAAACAAGTAGTAAAGTAATAACTGGAATTAAAGATTTGTTTCGTTACGGACTGAGAGTGCTGACTGAAACCTTTTCCATGGTTTGTGCATATATCCGGTCACTTGAGCTCAGAATGTGCAGTCTTTCCATCAAGGGAACACTAACAGCAGTCACGTACAGTCTCCCTACCCAACTGCTAAGGAAGTGTTATTATTTCCATCACATTCACTTGAAATTGGTCAGTTGCAAAAGTTATAATGGGGATCAGAAACACAAACCTAAACATAGAAATGCAGACCACGTAAACTCACCAGGGCTAAAAATCTCTTGATTGTGCTGTAGGAAGTGTTAGATTTTAATAAGCAAAGCATAGGAAACATGTGTTGGTCTTATTTCAGACCCTAAATGAAGATACACTCAAGTTTACTCTTGAAAACAGGTATATCCTCTTGAGGAAAGTTTTACCCTCTCCCCTACCACCTGAGATTCATACACGTCTTAGGAAAGCAGACCTCCTCCGCCTAGATGTAAATAAGATGATGTTTACCAAAGCTGTTGATAAGGAAAACAGGACTTTATTTGGAAATGCCATCTTTCAAGTTCATCATAAAAATAGAATAAATATGAAGTCACATCTGTAACTAAATTTTTTTATGTCTGTACATAATAGGAATACAAGAGCAGCTTCTTAAAAAAAAAAAAAAATCTCACTAATGCAAGGTGTTGGAGTGCTACCTAGTCTCTTGGGCTACAAAGCCTCAGATCTCAATCCAGTCTCTGCAGGTGCAGTTATGAAGTGCTCCATTTTCAGACCAGGTCATAGCTCAGACCTCAGCTATTCGCTGCAGGTGCTGGATTAATGTGTCTTTGGCTTAGTATTTTCAGGAGACTCTTTCCTCTGTGAGCCATGACCACCCATATCTTGTGACATGACATCTCTTAAAACTAATCCATTACTGAGAACCAAGATTAAAGAAGTTGCAGAGCGATAACTACTTGGGAGACATAGTCCCATGGAACTTTTGGAAAAAGCATAATTATTTCAGATGTTCTCAGTGGCTAGTCTATCAGGAACAGGTTGAAAAACAGCTCTACAAATCTACATTTTGAGGTTTATTTAGTGGTGTCCCCACTGCCTTTCTTTTTCTGGCTGTATGCTCCTAAAGTCATAGTGCACTTTTATAACTTGTCTATGGGGCCGGATGGGATCCACCCAAGGGTACTGAGGGAGCTGGCAGAAGTGCTCACCAAGCCACCAGCAGTCCTGGCTAACCGGGGAGGTCCCAGTTGACTGGAGGTTAGCAAATGTGACGCCCATCTACAAGAAGGGCTGGAAGGAGGATCCAGGGAACTACAGGCCTGTCAGTTATGACCTTGATGCTGGGGAAGGTTATGGAGCAGATCATCTTGAGTGACATCACGCGGCACATACAGGACACCCAGGTGATCAGGCCTAGTCAGCAGGGGTTTATGAAAGGCAGGTCCTGCTTGACTAACCTGATCGCCTTCTATGACAAGGTGACTCGCTTAGTGGGTGAGGGAAAGGCTGTGGATGTCGTCTACCTAGACTTTAGTAAAGCCTTTGACACTGTTTCCCACAGCATTCTGCTGGAGAAACTGGCTGCTCATGGCTTGGACAGGTGTACTCTTCGCTGGGTAAAAGTGGAAGTTAAATCCAGTTGGGAGCCGGTCACGAGCGGTGTTCCCCAGGGCTCAGTACTGGGGCCGATCTTGTTCAATATCTTTATCAATGATCTGGATGAGGGGATCGAGTGCACCCTCAGTAAGTTTGCAGATGACACCAAGTTGG